GGGGTTCGGTGTCCTCGGGAGTGTATTCAGGTTCTGTTTCGGGTTCTGGTTCTGGGACATGTGATACAACAGACGCCATCGGAGGTGGTGGTGGTGGCGGCGGCGGCGGCGGTGGAGGTGGACCACCCGATACAACTGGTGGAGGTGGAGGTGGCGGAGGTGGTGGGGGTGGTGGTGGACCTCCCGAGGCAGCTGGTAAAACTGGCGGAGGCGGAGGTGGTGAAGGTGGAGGTCCTCCCGAAGCAGCTGGCTGCGCTGGACGCGCAGTAACAGGCACTGCAGGTGGCCCTGGTGCGGGCGGGGGTGGTACCGACCTCGATACAGGAGCAGGAGGTGCCTCCCATGTCTCCTCCTCCTCCTCCTCGTCTTGAGCTAAAACAGGCGGCGGTTGTCTTATCGCAGAGGCACCCCCTCCACCGAGTTTCATCGCGCCGAATGTGCGTGGGACGTTTGACGCAGCCGCAGACGCTGGTGAAGATGTCGGAGCAGGACTAATTGGAGCACGTGTAGCAGCAGGTGTAGGGCGAGTGAAAGACGAAACAGCAGCTGCAGGTCGAGATGCTGCAGCCGGTGCCGGTGGCGGAGGAGGTGTATCCTCTTCAGCCTGCTGCTGCTCTTTCTTCGCCATCGCCTGACGTTGTGACCAAGTCAATTTACCAGCACCTCCGGCTCTCACAGGCGTCGTCGACTCCTCCTGCCCTGCCGCCGCCATCCTCTCGAAAGGATTTCTAAGTTTTCCTGGTTTCGGTAACGATACCGGTGTATACGCCGTTCCCACTGGTGCGATTAGGTCATCTTGGGATGTGGGTTTTGTTGGGACCGTGGAAGAAATAGAAGAAGGTGGAGGGGAAGGACGACTAGTTGGTGCTGCTGCACCACCACCAAGTGACATTGACCCGAATCCACTTCTCGTGGTCGTGGTAGTCGTCGCTGTGGGACGCGACGTGACCGGCAACGCTGGCGGCGGCTGTCCCCGTTGTTGTTGTACTTGTTCTTGTACACGTTGTTCTTCAGGCCACGCATCCTCCGGCGCACTCTGCCTTGCCGAACCATACAACGACCCCGCCGTCTGCGTCTGCTGTGGCACGGGTCTCTTCGTCGTCGGCAACGCTGGAGCCTGAGGCTGTTGATTCCTCAACGCTGCCATATCCACTCTCCCCACAGGCTTATACCCTGATCCGACATTCGGTGCGATTTTTGGGATCTGTTGTGGTTTTTGTTGTACCGCCGGAGCAGCAGAACCAGATGAAGAAGAAAAAGAATGGGTGTTTTGTTGATAAGAATACTTTGCTCCAGAAGCCGCTTCTACGCGTTTCATTATCGCTGAAGGCGTTACATCCGTCTACAATCCTAGTCAGCACACGAACATTCCAATCATCAAAGTCCATAAACATAGCACACCCACCTCATTCCTCGCCTGCACAACAACATGCGCTCCCCTCAAAAACTCCCCCATCACCGCACTATGACTCGCGAACAGCCCCTTCTTGCTCTCCGGTACCCCCTCCCCGCACCAATTGATCAGCACAAATTTCGGTAATCCATTCCCCGCTGTATCAATGACTCTGGCAAATCCCCATTGAACACGGCCATCGTAAAATTCGTCGCAGAGTTCCTCCAAGCCACCGGAGCCGCTGGATTGGAGTTTGATGTCGTTCCCGAAGGCGTAGGTATAGAGAACCCAGTCGAGTGTAGAGGAACCTGAGAGAACGGAGAGGTATGGTGCTTTTAGCGTTGGGTTGGAGAGGTTTAGTGTTAGAGACATGGTCGTTGGTCAGAAAGGATCGATGTTTATGTAAGCCACCCAAAACTTAATAGATTTAGATTAACTTGCTTTTTTACAACGATATACAATCGTAAAAAGCAATCTTCTTACAGCGCTTTTCTAATCTTTGCGGAAAACGTGAAATTTTTTCGGGGGCTGTGCTAACCCTAACGTGAGTTTTACTTCCACCACGATGTCTTCTGCTGGCAGCCCCGAACGCGACCAGAGTCTTGCACCTGAGGTCCCTACCTCTCATAAGTCTTTATGCACTATTCAACTTCAAACATATACCAAAGCTCACACTGGTAAACTCAAGAAGAAGGAAAAGCAGAAGAAGGAATCTGTCAAAACGAAGGAAATGGAGTTTATCTTCAATGCGAATACCAATAATTATGTCCTCATCATGAATCAAATTCTTTCCAAGTACTCTCTCGAGAAGCAACTCAAAGCTACAGTCCGCCACTGCTTCCAGATGAAGATGCAAATTCCGGGTGAAAAGTATGCAAATCTCATCATTTCTATCAACATGTTCTAACTCTCTACAGCAAGAATCAAGCCCGAGATGTCGACAATGCTGAGGAATTTCTTGAGGTTCAGAATAAGATAATTCATAGGCAATCAAATAAGCCTATAACTATATATGTTGATATGTTGAAGATCGAAGCAAAAGCCAAGGTATGTCCAAGTCTCAGATGCAACAAATGGTTTCTGACAAAAATCAGAAAATCAAAGCTGACAATGATGAAGATGATGAGGATGAGAATGATGATGAAGGGAATGAAACAGTAAGGCTTTTTCAATGTTTTGCATTGCAAAAACTTATTTTGATTATTAGGATGATAGCGGTCTCACAAAAACAGAAGCACAGGAAGCACGCTTTCACCGTCTCCTACAAAAAGAGCATGGGAACATCAATAATAACAGCCTTACCATCATCAATGAGGAAAATGGTATGCCTGTTCATTTGTCTAATATTGCTGCCGATGTCTGGGTCCGAGCTCTGGTATGTGTGTATATATATGTGTGTTTGACCCTCATATATTGACAGAAAATGTAGATGGATGAAACCCCTGGTGTTACAGTCAGGGTACCACCTGCCAATGACCCACTTTTCAAATCAAGCAAGATTATTCCGAAACTTACCAGAACTGGTGGGCGCACTCATAGTACAAGTATGTCTGAGTCTGCAGACTCCTTTCCAATAGATGGAATGACTATGCTTGGACACCTGGCAACAATGTTTACATCAATCTCTAACCTCACAAACAGCCGCTCTCGAACTCCACCTCCATCTACTGCTTCCATGACAACTGCTGTCACCTCCCCTATCAAAAATACACCTACGAAGTTGCCACGCTTCCTCAAATATGCCGAAGAAAATCTGGGTGTTGAGAATGCTACTTCTCACCAATACGCATTGCAGCGCGCCCGCTATGGACCAGACATATTGTCGAGAGTGGCTGATGCAAAGCTTACTGATTTGGGAATTCCAGATGGTGATGTCATTCGCCTAAAGGAGGCTGCACCCAGCTGGTGGAATGGTCCGGATGCAAAACGCAAGCCAAGTGAATCTACTCTGGATGTTTCCGACAATGAGCCACCTAGGAAGCGCATCCGCTTTGAACGCCGTGGTAAGGATGGAAGCTTCTATACACTTGTTGGTACTGGGATGTATCGAGTAGTCGATGATAAGGATCTACCTGAGAGTCCTTATGAGTGGTTTTATTTTTGTGATATTGCCCGTACCCTTGTTCCATTTCCTCCTCGCTATGTGCCCATCCTTGAAAGTGAACTGGATGACCAGGATATGTAAACCATATTTCCTATTTACTCAGTCCTCCTATCATATACAAAGTAGTACTCATTGTCCTCATGTACCTAATTTGCTATTTTTTGCTTGATATTTCATAAATTGTAGAATACTTCTAAATGTAACCTGAGGCTTGAAAATAACCATAAGCCTTTGATGAAGTAATACTTCTACATGCCTGATCCAATATACCCCAAGAGAAATCCTGCCAATGTCTCCCTAGGAAAGCCTTCATTGTAGAGAATGCTTGCTCAATGGGGTTGAGATCTGGAGAATATGGTGGCAGGTACATTAGCTTGCACACTATGATTGTTGTAAGCTCTTTCCATCCATGTTACAGGGTATAAGGAACACCTACAAGCATGATCTTCAATGAGTTCACGGACCTCTTCTCCATGGTGAATGTTGCAATTATCCATCACTATAACACTACGTGGCCCTGGATATGGTGTTGTATATGGGATCTGATGATATATTAGAATGTAATTAACATTATCATGAAGGGAAAAACACACAACATGTCGCTTTAAAAAGCTAACAAACTTCTCGGTATTCACTGATCCCGGAAAGATATCATAACCAATTATTCCATCAATTGTCAGTGCAGGCAAGATCGAAACACGATTGCCCCGAACAAAATAGCGCCTCTGAACACATCTTGTTCCCTTGTTTGCACGGCCATACTTGCGCTGAGAAGTTCGCCGATTCCGTGCAGCTTCATCAACAAAAATAAGCATGTCTGGTTGGGGTGCAATTCTGGCAATCCGGAGCATGTAGTGAGACCGCTGCATTTCATTCCTTTCAAATGCTTGTGCAGAAACAATCTTTCTGCTGAAATCGAGTCTCCGCAGTGCTCGGCATAGAGTTGGGATTGAGATGGAGACACCACGAGCTTGGAGTAAAGTCTCTTGGATTTCATCGAGATAAATGGTAGGCCTGAGTTCCACCAGTGTAGTTATATATTGTTCATCAATATCATTGAGAATTCGAGGACGACCACAGCGGTTTGCATGTTTAATGGCACATCTGTTGGTAGGGATTATTCCAGCTTCTAGCTGGTCAAGAAGCTTCGTTCGAGTAAGGTGTTGGTTGATAAGGTTATAGACTAGGGTTTTCTTCAGTCCAAGGTGTTTGCAAATAGTATACACATCACTGCGCTGGTCAAAGAACATGACCGCAACTCGAGCTTTGAGATCGGCAGAGTATCGACGTGGCATTGTAGTAGTCAAGATACAAGAATCGTAGTCTATCGTCGTATTAGGGTTAGCACAGCCCCCGAAAAAAATTTCACGTTTTCCGCAAAGATTAGAAAAGCGCTGTAAACGTTCGACGTACATTGAACAGCTCCCCAGCTGATATATCCGTAAATTTCGAATATTTGAAAGAGAAAGAAGGAAAAAAAATCACATCAATCCGACATTTTTACTCCCTGGCTGGGAGTCGAACCCAGCTTTCGCGCGTCCAGTTCCTAGTCGTAATGACAGGCGCGTGTACTAAACCGATATACTACCAGGGATATATCATTTGAGCGAAGCTTTTTTGCAATGATTGGTCAACGGTCCCGGTCAACGGTCAGCTCAAAAGTAGTCAGTTATGCTCATTGTACAAAATTTAGACAAATTTTCATATACAGTAGCTAAGCCAAAAAGCAGGCGATATCGATCAAGAGGCAGCGTGTAGTCATCGACAACATTGACAATGAAAAAACAAAAACAAAAAACAAAAAGCAGAAGCGAAGACAGATAAATGGGTATTCGTAAAATCGTAGTCATTACGTCGTAGGAGGGAGTCGAGAGTGAATCAGGAAACGATGGACAGCGGACAGCAGACAATGAACAGTGGAAAGCAAACAACAAACAGCAGCAAGATGTTGACCAATAGACGTGCAGCTCAGCTTATCGAAGATGAAGGGATTGTTAAGACGAGTCAGTCCATAGCAAGCAATTGAGCGACATCACAAAGTCGATCATAACAAGCAAGGTGCAGGGTGCAAGAAAAGAAAAGGCATATGGGTGAATGAATCCAAAAAAAAAATCGTCGTCGTACTCGTACTCGTGTAGTGCCGAAACACAGAATAAATCTAACACCATTCACTGTACAAATATCAATGATCAGCACAACGTCAAGTCCCAGAGGGCAAATAGAAGTAAAAGTTAATACGGAGACCAAACAACCCACTCACCATAAAATACATCTTCGTCTTATGCAACCCATGCAACGGCTTGAACCCATCAATGAAGGATTGCAGATTCTCCGTCGCGACCGTGCTCGCTGCATCAGACAAATCCACACCACTCGGGTCGTAGTGGATTTTCGCACGAGAGCAGACGATGTCGGCATCTGGGGGAGGGTGAGTGTGAGTATGTGTGGCAAGGGGTGTGAAGGTGTTAGGGAAAGGGTAAGGGTTGAGTAGAGAGGGAGAGAAGGACGTACAATACACCGGAGCAGGTATAGAAACGGATCGGGTCTATTATCATACCCCCAGGAAAGAGTGTGAGCGCCAGCTAACAAAACGACAAGCGACATACCGAACGAGCATAAATGTAACATAGGAGATACGCAACACTTTGTAGTGCATCCGGTGAGAAGTTGTTATCCTAAATCACCAAACAACCAGAATGAGATATGTATGTAAAGCCACTAATATATATCAACTCACATCATACAAAACCGAATAATGCGCAGATCGCGAGGTGCCTAAGAGACCCCCATGACTCTGGAGGTAGAAATCAAACTCCAGGGGGTGCGCGATTCCTGTGTCGACGACGGTTCCCGCAAGACAGTTCCCGCTCTTGTCGGCTTCACCACGGGCATTGGGGTCTCGAGGGAAGAAGCTACGTACACAGAGGATAGAAGGGAAGGGAATGGATTAGCCTGGTGTTCGGGGAGCAAAGAAAAGAAAGAAATAAAGGGAAAAAAGGAGAGGAGGAGAAGAGGTACCGAGATTCATTGGCTTTGAACGTACCGATAGTGGTGCCGTTTACCAACGATGATGAACGTGATCTTGGGTGCAATTCCCAGTTCTTGACAGACCTCTGATGTAGGCAAAGTCAGAAACAGTAAATTTCGAAACAGTAGAACAAAACAACGCACTCTTGAGAACGGCCACCTCTGTAGAAAAAAAACGAAAAGAAACGAAAAGGTATCGTCAGTAATCAAGCGGAAAATTCGACATCCATCTCCCAAGAGACCAGACCAATCAATCTTACCTTGCTCCATAACCTGCCCAAACTGCCCTTCCGAAACGCCATCCCTGAAGAAAAGCAGTCGTTTCGGTTTACAGAATTGCGGGAGCTTTTTCTCTACGTTGAGCTGGTAGCTTGTAAAACTTGCCAGAATGTCCTGCCAGGTTTATGAAAAGAAGGAACGAACGAACCAAGAAATTAGTACGTGGAGATAGGGAATCATCAAGGAGGAGGAAAGTGATGGGCTGGGCTTACCTTCACCATTGTATGCAAGTCAGCAATGATCTCCAGCCGGGAGGTTTGGGCATGGGTCCTGGGGATATATTTAACACCTAAACTGTCTACACTCCCAACGACTGCACTGAAGGAGGGTGCATCGGAGCCTGGGGCAGGGTGCATCACGTCCGCACCTATGGGGCCAATCAGTCACCTAGGTCGCAGGCACAGAACCCACAGCATACCCATGATGATGGTCGGATTCTGCAGATCGCTTAGATGCGCAGAAGCTGCGGCATCTGGTACGACATTGATTCCCCCGAGTTTAGCATTAAGCCTAAAGAGGAGACAAAAAAGTCAGATTGTAACAGGTACATGAAGTGTAAAGTATAGGAACTCACTTGAGACAAACATTTGCCCAGTATTGAAGTTTGGCCCGGTTACATTTCGACGCTTTCAGGCATTGGGTGACCACACCTTGCTATTATGATATGTTGAATAGTCAGAGGAGAAGATAAGGGGCTGGTGAGAATCATCGTTCGTACCGTAACATCGCCAAAGCTGAGGGGAACACACATGGGTCAATCATAAGATGACTACAGGGATGAGGTATAACTCACTGCTTCACTGCACGGTAGATGTCGTTTCCCCCGTCAGGAAGGATGATGAGTAACATGTCAGGTCCTTTCCCGACATTGTTCTTCTTCACACATTTCATACCAGCGGCCTTCAAGACCTAGATGCACAGAATGAACAAACCACCAAATGAAGGGATGGATTTCGAAACAAACAGTAGCAACTTGTTGAATGCCGCCTTGCCCCGACGCATATTCAATTACCGGATCACGTTCTACGACATTAATACCTGAAATGATTCCCAATTACTATAAGTACAAGGAATAACGATCGAAACATCGAAAGACTCACCGACACTCAAACATCCGTCGATAAAAGATCGGACCACGGATAAGGCAGTATCTTGACGAGTTCGAGTATCGAATACTACCATCGCCCATCTATTGATAGACTCTGGTTTATATAGCTTCTTGTCGATCCTGTACAACAACGCCTATGAAGAACTGATTTTGTGCAACGTTCAGGGATGAGCTTACATATTCCACGCTCCGTCGCGGGGTTTCTGCATGACAAAGAAGGAAACAAAGACTATCAACACTGAGACCAGACTCGAAAGAGGTGCCACGACTCACCGAAACCTTATCTTTACTTCCTTGACCGTATAGAAGCTGTGGGGGAGGTAATTGTCGAGCTTCTATCGTCATGGGGAACGTTTGTTCATTGATAGACAAGCCAAAACTACGGACGTATTCAGATTGACCATAGGCGAGTACCTGGAAGGAGAGATGAGTAGATATACATCAAAAGCAATGAAGCAGCAAAAGCTTACCCGGAACCCATTCCTAATACTCTGCAGTCTATCTTCTGGCCTTTTCGTAGAAAACTCCACCATCTCTCGGGTGACCTCGGGGGGTATCTGCATGCGGGCAAGTTGCCCCGGCACGATGGTGCAACGTTCGAATGGTAACACTGCTCCTTTGGCAGTCTGGGACACGATAACCGTGAGCTACAGGATACAGGATGGAATTCCCACACACTTACCTTGGCACAAATTATATTGGGATATTGGAGCGGTCGGCCAGATAGTTGTCGAAAGTAAGCAGCAACATTTGTCGAAGTACCATCCCTCTGTGGGAAGATGATACGGCTAGCACCTTCCCTTGTCAAAGAACTGATTGTGACTATGTGCGGAGGGGAGCCAGCAGCAGCTGGCCGGACAGAAACGCGAACATTCTTCAAATACCGTTCTAAGTCCCTGAAGACGCTATTAGGTAGTCCCCGTTCCATGGATAATGCGTTTGGATCACGGTTGCCCACTACTTCAAGCGCGATATCTATCACTGATCCATCCTTGTAGAACATCCCCGTCGAAAGATCTATGTTTAAGAGCAGTCGTCCGATTGCAGGCCTGAGCGATTGAAAGTATCCTCGGCGTAATTGAAAACCATGTCCAACATTCTTGATCTCTGTGTCCGTAAAGAAGGATCTTGAATTGTATGGGTGAGTTTGCATGGGTAGCATGCGAATAACAATGTTCAAAGCCTGAATACATGCATTAGTGAGGAGAAGCAGATAGAATCACCGCAACACACCCCCAGAGTTGCTTGATCAGCCTCACTAAACGACTGTTGTCCATCGATAAAACGTTGTAAGCCTCTGAAGAAAAGGCAATGTTAGTTTTCATCACTTGGAACGAGAAATTTTACCCGAACGCGACTTACTCTGGGTTAAGGACCGCAACCTTTGTGAGCCGTATCTTGAATATACGAGGGGGTCTGTCTCGAGGCTGAGAGTTGCCATTCATGGCAACATTATACTTTATATACAAGGTGTCAGAAATCAATGGATTCCGAGTTCATGTAGTTCACTTACATCGCGAGAATCGGGACCTCCAAAATCAATCAAATGTGTCATGTATAGGTTCTTCTTGCCATCGTATGCTCCAGGAGGGTGAAATTCTGGCTGAACTTGCAGCTGTTTGATCAGCTGATGAGCAACACGAGGTGGCATGGTTTTTTCAGTGACGATGGCTTCAAGATTGTGTACATGAGCATAATTGTGTGGCAAACAATTCATCGACACTCACCGACTAAGATCATTAGACAAAATTTTTGTCAGCTTATCAAAATCCATGAAGAGCATAATGACGCACCGTCGTAATGATAAATCAGTCCCTCAGGGACCATGGCCTCACAGGCATTTGTGAAAACCTGGATTTTTCGGCCAAGGGTCCCAAATCCTTTTCGTTGAACACCGACTGTTTTGACAAGAGCTTAACAGAGAAATAACAGGAGATGCCATTAATTGTTTCACAGAATTCTTTAAAAAAAGATACGGTATGTAACAATACCTGAAGGAAGCCCAGAGGGCTGGCCGCCTCCACCAGTCATCTGGGCCCCACGTCCAACAATTTGAGGCGGGCCTGCTCGAGGAGGACGGCCGCCACCGCGACTACCTCCCCTGCCTCCTCGGGCAGGCCCGCTTTGTTGAGTTGAACGCGGAGGCATTGCGAAGAAGGTGTTAAAATGATGAGTATGAAAAGTCGCGTGTGGAAGTAAGGAAAGGCGATTCGCTGTGTAACATGCTTTCCTCTCATCCGATTTATAGCGATACAGCTTTGCATTAAAATGCTTACGGAAGAAAACGTGTAACATCGGCGAGTTTTGCCGCTCTTCTTTTTCCTACATAGTACTGCGCCGCAGAAAACTGCAGAGAAGCTTAGCAGTAAGTTAGGGTTGATCCAACGCAGCCTGCATTCAAATATCGATGGATAGATGATAATCGATCATTGAAGAAGACATGTACTGTCAGGAGACGCGTATATACGTGTAGACTGAGAAACGCGGAGTAAGTTTAACTGTAACCGCTGGCCGTCAGTACTCAGGAAGTTGAGATCATGTACATAACCAACGATCATACCGAAACGTTGGAAAAGAGAAAGAGTCTACGTTTAGGAAAAAGTTATCTCCCTGGCTGGGAGTCGAACCCAGCTTTCGCGCGGTAAGATGAAAATGACAGGCGCGTGTACTAACCGATATACTACCAGGGAGTATAGCATTCGCTGATCACCATCTGCTGATAGCTCTCTCCTTATTACACATCTTTCACGAGCCTCTCCTTACAATCTCCTACAATGAAGTTACAATCTACCCCAATCATCTTGCTCAATGCCTTGGATGGAGACTCCACGTAGATACTAACGACGTATACCAATTATCACCTCTCACTGGCTCCTCAAGGCCTCAAGGGACATCGAGGATCTATTCAGTACGACTCAGTGTGAACATTTAGCTCCTTGAAAACCTTTTGTATCTAACTGGGACATATTCCAGTTGTCGAATCTGTAGCAAGTGGTCTACGTGCTCGACGCCGCCTAATTACGAGCCAAAACGCTAGGTTGTTCCGTTCATCTGATATTCCGCCTGCACTTTACAACTTTACCAAACCCGGCAGACACGCTCGTCTTTTTCCGTCACCAGACAAAAGACACTCATCCGATCAAAGTAGGTCAAGACTCAGGATCGTCTCGTATTCGTGTAATCCTCGAGGTCAAAGGACAATCGTGATGATGGGACCTATTTCCACAGCGATGATACCGAGGAACATCTCGCGGAAATGACCTTGCAGGTGTCGAAAGTGGTATCGTGCGCAGCGCGGTGGACGCATGTCCCCGTATAATGAGCGAGCATGTAAGACCACGCCTTCTTCATCGGTGTCTACGCAGTACAGAAGAGCGTCGCTTCTGAATAGATTGGCTAGGGCTCACTCGTGCCGTTGCTTCGCGCGCTGTGGGTTTTTGGTTATGATCGCGCATAGATGAAGGCACCTCAAATGCATTTTACTATCTTACCTTCTGCGACCTTCAACAGATAGATATCATCATTGTTCTGTAGATTTTTGTTTGTTACCCATATTTCTGGAACATGTTCTCCATGTAGTAGCCCTCATTGACACATCCGTCCGAACATGGACAATCCATATACCCCAAACATCATTACGACCAGAGCTACCAAAATCTTTTCCTTGGTATTTGTCGCACGTAGTTTAGTAACAATGTCAGACGGGGGCCCTTGAGCACTTGCAGTGTCGATAGCGATAACCTCCTCTTTAGTTAGCGAAGCTGTTTGATGGCAGTAGAAGGAACAAATCAAGAAAGGAAAAGCCATCGAATTAGTTTCATAGAATCTAAATTGCAATAAGCAGTACTCACGCAAATCCGCTACGGCAAGGTATTCTTCCATATGAGCTTTGGTAGTGGTGGTTCTAAAGGAGCGAATAGAGGAGGATGACGGAGTAGGATAATAAATAGGACAAGTCAACGTACGTGACAATAACCGCCCCCTTTGCTTTGACCCACAAGAAGACTACCTGAGTCGGGGTGGCACCGATTCGCTGAGCGGCAGCTTTGAGAGGCACGTCAACGGGTCCACCTGGATATGTAGTTATCGGTCTGCATTGAAGGATTATAGAACCTCTTGAGAAGAGATATTAGTCGATTAATTGGGAACGACGAACGAGAGACTGCTGTAAGCTTCAACTACAATATTATGCTTGGCACATGCATCCATGACTGGTTTCATGTCGCGATAGTTGTACGGATGTAATCGGATCTGAAGAGCGTTATTAGGTATGCGTCCATCCGTCATGTTATGGCAGAAGGAGCGCTTCCTTCTAACAATCTCCACTGCATTAACCAAAGGACTTACCTGATTCACAGCAGGTTTGATTCTGGAAAATTTGATAAGGTTCTCGAGTTGTTGTACATCGACAACGTTACTGACACCGATGCTTCTAAGACCCACAATATAGTCAGTATCGCAATATACAGTGAGTCGAAGAATGACACTGTACTTAGCCAACCCATCTTGCTGTACTTTCTCGAACTCTTTCCACGTTTCGACAAGATTGGGTATGATTCGAGGTTGATGGATTAGGTATAGGTCCAAATAATGCAGACCGAGCTATGTAACTTTGCGTTAGAGAAGGTACTAATTATATCGGATTGTTCAACAACAAATTCACGTTTTTTAAACTCTCTCTAACACTCTTCTGAACGGGCACCTCTCCAAAATACTTGGTCGTGACAAATAATTCCGAACGCGCTAGTCCGCTTTCCTTGATAGCTCTCCCAACAAATTTCTCGGTTTTATAAACTGCATCAATGAATAACATAATGGGCATGGAGAAAGTTGAGAGGTGAAGACAACGAGGACGCACATACTGCGGTATCGATATGGGAGAAGCCAGTTTCGATGGCTTGTTCAATGTATTGTGTGATGTCGTGAAACTTCATCTTGGAGCCTGTCCCATAGGCGATGCTTGGGATCTGTCAAGGCCAACGTCAATATAACAGTGGGCTACTACTTCGCGATATTCACCTTGTTTCCATCGTTTAGCGGGATGGGCTCAAGAGGCATATTCTCTCCCCGAAAGCGGTTGAGAGCAGGTTATGAACTTTGCGGCTTACATGAGTTTAATGTTGCAATACGAACTTTCTAAACTTGGTAGTTGTTCGGGAGACTCGGAAGTAGATAACAGTCGGCCCGAGGCCCCGAGCTCGGGCTTCGTCTTCGATACGATGAAGGGACTGGTCAGGACTGGTCTCCATGAAAATAAATGCGGACTTCTGAAACTAAAGTACTCGAATCACTTACATACCGAGAACACCGAGAACAGAACAGATGTGTATAAGTTCGATGTATACCAAGGTACGCGTAAATTTTTTTCTCGCCCACACTAATTAGTCGACCACCATGAGACAAAGGAGCGTTTTGATAACTGGTTGCAGCGTTGGTGGTATTGGCCATGCTTTTGTCAAGGAATTCCACTCTAGAGGTGTGTCTTGTTCGCACCGAATGATTCTAAAATGCTTACTTACGCCTTCAACATGCAAAATAGGATTCAAAGTTTTTGCAACGGCTCGACGTCCGGAATCTATGCCTGAATTGAAAGCGCTTGAGGGTGTGGTTTTGCTGAAATTGGATGTATCCGAGATTGACAGTATACGAACGGCTGTCGAAGAAGTTGCTTCGTTGACTGGCGGAAAGCTCGATATCCTGATGAACAATGCGTAAGTCTTTCCAACTCCAAGATTCAATATGCATACTCATGGATTCTCAGTGGACAAGGCAAGCCTAATACTCTATACATTTCACCCTCAAATGTCTGTAACCTCCTCAAAATTCAGCACTACCCAGTGCCATAACTGACTTGGATCTGAGCGAGCTCAGAGCTCTTTTCGAAGTCAACTACTTTGCTCCCATGTCCATGATTAAGGAATTCCTGCCGCTCCTGCTAGCTTCTGATGATGCTCGCATTGTGCAGACCAGTAGCATCAGCGGGGTTGTGCATTTCCCTTTCAACGGCGCCTACAATATGAGTAAAGCTGCGCTGAATTCACTCGCGGATGCGTTGCGGATAGAGCTGGCACCTTTTGAGTAAGTCTCTTACTTGTTGTCCATGTCATGTGTTTTAACATGTACCTATACAGCAATATCAAGGTCGTCAATGTATGTTCGTTCCTGATAGTTTTACTAGGTTTTTAACCATGTCTTTTAGCTCATCACTGGCGCAGTCAAAAGCAATATCCATCGCTCCAAGTCACTACCAGATAGTTCTCTTTATAAGCCTATGGAACAACTATATCATGAGAAACGGTTGCAGATGTCCAAAGGTACACGGCATTCCTCAATGTTTATCTCAATCCCACTCACAACACAATTCATCCATGTATTCCACAGTGAAGGCAATGCCTACAGTGCAGTATGCTCAGCAAGTCGCATCGGAAGTCCTGAAACCTAAACCTAGAGCATGGTTCTGGCTTGCAAACATGACCACAGTGTCTTGGCTTTTGAATACCTTTTTTCCGAAGACCCTACTTGTATGTATCCTCGACGCTGAGTGCCTCTCGGTTGAAGCTTACTTTTCATTCACCACACAGGATAAAATCATGGCCAGACAGTTTGGGTTAAATGATTTTGCTGCACGTAGTGTTCAAAAGAAGATCGTCCTATCTCCAACTGTCAAGAGAACTGTCTTGATAACCGGATGCAGCGCTGGCGGTATAGGGCACGCGTTAGCCAAAGAATTTCATTCTCGAGGTACGCCTGGTAGTTTTGAACTGGTATACGAGCGCTCTGGAGCTCTTGTATTCCACTTGCAGGGGAACGTGTCTTTGCCACAGCCCGAAACCTTGAATCGATGGTGGAATTGGAGAGACTTGGGATTACCGTACTCAAATTGGACGTCACGAAAATCGAAAGCATACGCGATGCTCGCGATAAACTCAGCGTGATGACTGGAGGAAAACTCGATATTCTGGTCAATAATGCGTGAGTCCTGTTATCATGGTCCCCGGTTCCATCATTATTCATATTCTGCATCTATAGAGGACAAGGCAGGTTTTGAATCTAGTCAGCCATATCCAATGTCCTCACCTTCGAAGTGACAGAGAGTATAATGGCTGTAAGCGACATGGACATGAATGCCGCTCGAAATCTCTTCGAAGTAAATCTTTATGGCGCTATAGCTATGGTTCAAGAATTTGTTCAACTTCTCATCACGTCTGGGAATGGACGCGTCGCTCACGTAGGCAGTATCGCTGGTATCTTCCCCCTTCCCTTCAGCGCGTCATATAATGGATCCAAAGCCGCGGTGCATGCACTAAGCAACACGCTACGCGTAGAGTTGGCGCCGTTCAAGTACGTTGGCGTGGTTTTGTCATTGCTAGATACGGGCTGACCCTGGGACCTTAGTATAAAAGTGGTCAATGTACGAATACGCTGTTGTCCGCATTTGTGTATCGTGCTTGACGTGCATCCGCTATAATAGCTACTTACTGGTGGTGTCACAAGCAACATCTCAAGACCTCTTTTCTTGCCGGAGAATTCATTATACAGGCCGATTGAACAGATTCTCCTTCAGAAACGTGTCGGTATATCGCAAGGTGAATGACATCCCCTAATCAAGTATCTGACATTTGACTTTGTGTAGTCACAGCCATGCCGACTGCACAGTATGCTCGTAGAGTAACAACTGAGCTTTTACACT